GGTTTGACACACAGGCAAATCTGACAGAAAGCATCGGCCCTTGCGCATCTTGCGAACTCAGAGCTACCTGGCACTTCCCAAGTTTCTTCCGCTCCATGTCCAACATAGCCTCATTCAAGCACCATGAAATGTTCTTTTCCTTGTAGCGGCCAAGAGGAGATTTTCGAAGCGATTCTCCTTTCAATCGGCGCTCCACAACACCCAGAAAGGTGTCCATTGACGGGGTGCCTGGCAGATTTGGGCTGCAGCCAAGCGCTGTCGCTCGTCGGAACCGATGCAGTACTCCACGCTCATGTTGTTTCTATTGCGTTGTTCGCAATCCTTCCACTGAGCGGCTGAAGCACTTGCAGTACCGGCACTGCACATTCGACTCAGTCAGTTTTGCCCACTTGAACAGTCTTCCCCACTTAATCACGCATTAGGAAGAAGGCATGGCGCCATCCGAACTGCGTTGCCGCAGTCGGTGCAGCAGCTGCCCTACAACTTGAGCATGTTTCGACAGGCGTGATCAACGATTAACGATGCCGCAACATGAACTGTGCCACGACAGAAACACTCAGGCAAAACGGACGAGCCCTTTTTACCTCTGCGGGACTGAGTGCTTGAAGTGCGACCGCTTCCGAAGCCGTCAGGCTTCGCAAGCAATGATTCCAAAAACCTGACTGCGGCGACGCAGTTCAGTTTTTGACCTTTTCGAGGCCCAGGAACCAGTCCTTTACGTCAGCGAGCTCCTGCTTTGTGCAGGGATCATCAGTCCACCACTCAATGCCGTCGTTGAAGGTCACTTTCAGCCATTGTCCCCGATAATTGTACCAGCGTTGGCCCGTGGGGAATTTTGGCGCCCGTGGCAGCCGGCGGAACTGCGTGGCAATATATCCAGCAGCGACCCATTGTGTATAGGTGTAGGTGCCGCTGGAATGCATCCTGTGCACCGGCGCGAGTCTCTTTGTCGCTTTCATGCTTCCCCGAGTTCTGAAGGGCAGCCCAATCACTCGGGATCTCTTGAACCTTGTTCTCACGCGCGACCGCGTCTTCTGCTGTCGAGTCCTGGATAGCCCCGCCGCAATTCCACCATCCGGGTCAGGCGTGTTGTCATAGATGCCTGTCGCATTGACATAGGCCGTCTCCGCTGCTGTAATTTGTGTGTGAAACCAATCGCCTGCCTCAGTGCCGAGCTTTGGGAACCCGGCGTCCTGCCACTGCCTCTCCAATCGCAGCAATTGTGCTCCTTGCCATCGACCTGACTCAAGCGGCATCCACCGCCACTCATCTTGGTCCGGGTGCTCATCTTGGTCCTCGTCCTTCTGTGACATTTTGTCATCCGGCTCCTCCTCAGCTTCGTCATCCTCATCTGAGATTCCGCTTGGCTCAGAGTCAGAATCACGAACATTGACACGCTCAAGGGTCATTGTCAGGTGCTCCGCACGCTGGAGTTGTTGCTGCAGCCCGTCGTCATCATCATCCTCCTGCATGTCGTCAGCCGGCGACGTTGGTGAATAGTTGAACCAGGCCAGGCCGGAACTTCTTCCTGCTCAGTGTCAAGCTGCGTCGCCGCAGCTGATTTTGGCATGGGCAAAAACGGAGTTGGGCTTGCCGGCTCCTGCTGGCACTCCTCCTCCGGCAGCTGAGTGACAGTGGGCTCCTCCGGCTGCAGAGTTGGAGTTTCCTGCTCCATGCTCGGCGCCACAGTTGGCGTCGGCGCAAGGCTGCTTGGAGATCCGCCTCGCAGGCTGCGTGGTGATCCAAGCAAGCGGTGAACGCAGCAGCTCTTGCCTTCACGTTGGTGGGCTGAGGAGCCCAGGGGAAGCAGCAGCTCAAGGGTGTGAGATTCTTCACCTTGTCATAGTCCATTTGAAAGAACAAGTCCTTGCGTGGGACAGAGTCTTCTTCCCAGTGAGGGGTGTGCGCACAGTCGTGCCACCTGCTTGGGCACCTCCACGTGGCGCCCCTGCAACTCTTTCGGCAGCAGGCGGCATTGCCTCGCCCTGCTGGACCCGCATGTTATACCTCACGATCACCTTCACTATCACGAGATCCTCCGATTCCACACCAATTCAGTGCCACGATGCGTGTTAAAAATCGTCCTGGGGGTGTGGCCCAGAAGCTGGAAGCCCAAAGCGTAGAAGACCGAAGACATTTGTCTTCCACGCGTAGTGGTCGAAGACGTGCTCCCAGTCTTCTGCTGTGTACCTGGCGCACAAGGTCGGCAAGGCACGAACAGGCAAGACTACAACAACCAAGGACTAAACATTCAGGAATCATTACCAAACACAAATTTCTTGGCAAGGCGCACTCCGACTCCACGGCCACCTCGGCCGTGATACTCGCGTGCCCCCAGCCCGGCGTCGTTATCTGACGCAGTCAGCTTTCCCTGTCTCAGGATTGCCGGGGCACATTCCCAGTACGTGCCGTGAACCACCGAGTGCAAGTGGATGCCATCTGCGTTTCCGCAGATGTCTTGAATACGACGCTGCCACTGCGCAGAGTGCAGTCTGTCCGACTGCAAGAATCGAACTCGATGTGGCCAGAGCTTTTCGAGGTCTCCTGGGGGAAATGGCGGCATTGGCCCAGAGAGTCGCAGACTCCGTGGACGTGCGCCCAGTGCCGCACCATCATCTCCACCAATGCTGGGTCCTTTGCAAGGGGGTGGTTGCTCTGGCTCCTCCGCTGTTTTTCCCACTTTGAACGCTTGGTCAGTCTCCCGATGTTGTTCCTCAGGACATCATACGGGGCTTGCGCCAATGGAGTGGCCAACTCCAATGACTTTGTGCCAGCCACATGCGACAGCTTCAGGAGATTCGCCAGCATCTCGCTCACGATGAGGACCGACTTCAGCGGCAGTCGTTCAATGCTTTCCAGTGCCCTGTGTGATGGCCGCTGTGTTGCCACAGCGGCTTGGTTCACTCTGTCCAGGAAGTCTGCAAGCGGAGACCTGCAAAGGTCATAGAGGTCGCGATGACTCAGCATCGTGTTGACCTTCACCCACTTGTGCCCATCCACATTAGCCATCCCCTGTTGCAGGAGCTCGGGTTTGCCAATGCGTTGAGGGCCATGGACCTCTAGTGTATCGTGGCAGAAAGACGGCAAGACGAAGCCGATATTGATGTGGCTTACGTTTCTCCGCTTGCCTTCCTGCACGGGCATTGCTTGAACAGTGTTTGCAACAGTTAGAACAAACGTACAGGGACATGCAGCTTTTCACACGCCCCAACCCCATGCACTTTCCCAAACCTGTCCTGAAATTTCTGGTTTATCAGCGTCGTGTCTTTTGCCAGCGTGAAAAAGTGGCCCACGACGCTGGAGTCCAGCTGCAACCCAGCCTCTTCTACCAGTTCCCTTGAGGCCGTAGTTGGCGGCCACCGTGGCCAGCGTGGCGTTGTTGGCCGAGGCGATGGAGCCGTTCATGGCCGCCGTGGTGCTGTAGTTGGACAGCTTCAGGTCCACTGAGTCGGGGGTGCTCTTGGTGGCAACCACGCCCTCCAGCCCGTCGAAGGCCGACTGGTCTGCCTTGTTGGAGAGACCCGTGGTCAGCGAGCTCTGCAGCGCTGCGATGCTGCTTCCGTGCGCGGCCACCTGACCGTCCGTGGTGGCCAGGGCCGCAGCCGTTGCTAGGGGCGCAATCGCCGGCGCCAGCGCGCTGCTGTCCAGCTTTGAGGCCAGCTCGGCGGTGACTCGGTCGACCAGGGACTGGATGGCAGCGGCGTTGTTGCCGGAGGCTGCCGTGTTCACCGCCAGGTCAGTTACTTGAGCGTAGGGCGTCAGAGCGAGGGCCAGCTGTCCTGCTGTGACGTGCGTGCCGTCAGTCACCTCTCCGTTGTCCAGGACCTCCGGGATGTTGCCCGTGACAGGTCCTTCAAACATGTTTTCTTAGGAGTAGTCGTTATGCGTTTGTAACGCAGGGGTGTTGTACTTTCGCAACGCGCCCTCACTTGAGTCGCTATGGGTCATTCGGGGCCTTCGTAGCACAGGTTGTACTTTCGCAACAGCCCCCTACCAGTACGCGAAGTGTGGACTGACGCAGTGTCCGATGGCGTCGGACACTGGGCATGAAGCGAGGTCCTTCATGACGAGACCGGCGAAGGACACTTGTCTCAGCAGCTATGACCTGCGGGGCATTCATGAGCCAACCTTGCCCATTCATGAACCAACCTTGCCCATTCATGAACCACCTTGCCCATTCATGAGCCATTGATGAATCACCCGGTTCCATTATTGACTCAAACTTGCCAAGAACCCTCGGGAACTGGGGCGCTTTTGCTGACGAAGCGGTGACAAGCGGTGACATGCTCGGCGGGCTGGAATTCGCCGCTTTTCCGGCCCGAAAGCGGAAAACTGAGCAAAGTGCTCGTCTGGAGCCCGCTTTCCACCGAAAACCAGCGAATTTGGAGGCTCGGGCATCCCACTTGCAGTCCGACACGAAAAACGGACTCTTCGGACTCGACCGTTTTGAGCGCTTCTTGCACCAAAAAACGGAGCCGGATGGAGCGGTGACATCAGTGGTGACAAGCTCGGCGGGCTAACGGACCACCTCGGCGGGCTGTCGGACTCCGAGCCTGGACCTCGGCGGGCTGTCGGGCCGCGAAAAATCCTGCGGAGAAGGAGCTTGGGAACTGGGCCCGGTTTTGCGCACTGGTGCAAAAGCGAGCGGTGACGAAGCGGTGACAAGCGGCGACGAGTTCAGCGGGCTGGAATTCGCAGGCTTTTCGGGGCAGAAAATCGGAGCACGGCAAACGCCTGGAGCCGGTTTTCGGCGGAAAACAAGCGAACGTGGAGGCTCGGGCGCCACTTTCGACGTCTGACACGAAAAAACGCACTTTTCGAAGTTCGCCGTTGTCAGCGCTTTTTGCACCAAAAACGGAGTGGTGACAAAGACCGGTGACATCGGAAAAACGTTCAGCTGGTTGGAGAATTCGGCTGTTTTGCAGGGTTTGGGGACCCAACTCCGAAAATTAACAGGGTAGTATAAGCAGACATTCCTTACTACTCTCAGCCGGCCAAGCTTCGCCGGCGGCCGCCGCCTCCAGGAGTTGGAGGCCGAACTGCAAGGAGATGGGCTGGACGGGCGCCGTCTTGAGAGACTCGGCCGCCGTGGGGTCGTTGCCCGCCCGTAGCCAGCTTGGGCGGCCTGCGCGACGCGAGAGCAAACAGAGCCGGGCAAAACCGCGGCCACTTCCCGCCCGGCCTGGGTCCTCTGCGCTTCTCGGACGAGCAGCTTGACGTCGCCGTCGCCGACGCAGGTCTCCTCCTGGCAGAGCGCGTTGTCGTGGGTCTCCTTCGTCACGGGGAACCGATAAGGCACTTGGAGGTCGCCGTTGCAGCGCAGCGCCGCCAGCAGCGCCGGGTGGTTGCCGTTGAGGTTCGGGTCGTTGACCGGGCCCCACTGCAGGCCCAAAGAACTCGCTTGCCCTTGACGGGCAGGTCCAGCTGCTCGGCCAAGCCGCGGCAGACCAGAGCCGTTCGGCCCAGAATCAACTGGCTGTCGCGGGGGAAACCGCTCTTGCACCTCGTCGGATCCTTGGCGTCGCGGCAGTGGGCCAGGGGCCGCCGCTCGCCGCCTGGGCCGGCAGGGAGATGCACATGATGTTGCTTGCGCTGCTGCAGCTGCTCCACGTCCTCCGCCAAGTATCGCCGCGTCCACTCCTCGGGCCGCAGCCGGCGGCTCGCGTGGTAGGCCGGCCGGCTCAACATCAAGGCGCAGTCGCACTTCGGCCACTCCTCCTCCGCGGCGGCCCGATCGCGCTCCCAGCCGTCCGGGTCGCAGTAGACGGAGCGCCGGACATGGGCAGTGTAGGAAGCATACCTTTGCAGCAAGGTTCGGAGCTCGGGCTTACCCAAGTCAAGGAGGCCGGCCAGCGACCCGCGCTGATGGCGGCACTGGACGAACACTTGCATGTGGGCGTGGAGGGCTCCGCTCTTTTGACACTCGATGGAGCCAAACACCGCGTCAACTCTGCCCAGCACGCCGCCGCCGGCCACGGCGTTGCTCCCGAACGCGTCGCTGCAAGGCTGCCCCGAAGTCGCGCAGTTCAGGCAGCGCGGGCAGAACCTGACCCCCAAGAGGTGGCGCAGCGTCAGGAGCACCAGCGTCCTGGGGCCGGAAGTCGAAGCAGCGCGGTTTCTCCCCCCCCCCTTTTGCGCCGAAAGTCCTGAAGCCCTCCGCGCAAGCCAGCGGGTCCCTGGCCAGCAGCGCGCGCCTGTCCTCGTAGTTCGGCAGGTTCTCCGCCAAGGCCTCGGGGCTCAGCCGGCAGAACTCTTCGTCCAGCGCCGGCAGGCCGCGGGCCTGGAACTTCTTCGCGCCATCCCGCAGTAGCGCCGGATCCTCTTCTCGCACACGCGCCAGGCGCAGCATCAGGGCGGTGTCTCGCTCCGAAGGCGAGAAAGTCAAGAAGATCGAGGTCCCGAAGCAGACGCGATAAGCGTGGGGAGGCGCATGGTCTTGCGCACCTCGTGGGTCCCGGGGATGTTCTTGGCCCGGGCCTCGACGTTCGCCAGGATCTTGCGGGCGGCGGGCTTCAGGTTCGCAAAGCGCAGCTTGGTCAAGTCCCCTTGGACGGGCTTCTCCTCGCCGTTGATGTCCGTGTAGGTTCCCCGCAGGCGGGATGTGATCTCCCGGACGCCCGTCTCGCTTCTCGACCTCCGCCTCTAGGTCCCGCCGCAGTTTCCGCAGCGCGGCCACCGCAGCTTTGTTGGCGTCTTCGCCCGCGCAGCCTTCCGCGACCACGGCCCGCGCCCGCTGCGCGGCAAAGGTCGCGCCGGCGGCGGCGACGTCTTCCTGCCGCCCGTCGCAAGGCGTCGCCGCCTTTTGCGGCTGCAGCTTGTCCTCGGCGTCGTCGACGTCCGCGTCCACCTGGTCGCGGGCGCGCGTTTTTTTTTTTCGAACGCCCTCTTCCGTTCAGCCTGCGGCCCGCCCCTCTTTCGCCCGCGCCTGGACCACGACTTTCAACACCTCGGGTGGAACCCCGTCGGGAGGGCGGCGGCTCTAAGGCGAACTCCCTTTTCATCCACGCCCGCAAAGGACGGGTGGCCCAGGCGCTTCATGTCCAAGATGAGGTTAACCACCACCTCCCGCCTCACGTTCGCCTGGTGGATGAGGCCCTTGATCTCCGCGTCGCTCGTCTTGCCCTTCTTGTTGGTCTTGAGCAGAACGCGGACCAGTTGGCCGAGTTCTGCGCCGCTGCGCGGCAGCGCCGCCGCCTGGTCGCCTTCCCCCTGCAAAGCTTTCAAGACGTCTTCCCAGGGCAGCGGGAAAGATAATGCGTTGCCCCGAGCCCCGAAGCGATGCCGGGCCATAGGAGCCGTCTCGTCTAGGGCGCAAGCCTCGCTGCGGAACCGCGCCTCCATAGACATGCAAATCAG